TCGGTAGGTCTATTATTTTCCGTTTCCTGCCAGCAGCTTCACAATGCATCCCAGGCAACGCCTGGAACAACGTGTGCAAGTTGCATTGTAAGAATCTGACTACCGCCGAATAACAAGGGCGGGCTGCAGCCGCACGCCAGCAGAAGAACGTAATCGTCACAATCAGGGTCGCCGAAAGCGTAGAGCGGCAACGCGATGGCGCCAGCGATAATCGCACGCGCTTTCGCGCATGCTAATGGCGGCGGGGCGGGCACCGCCCTCTCAATGGGGCGACGGCTCGCCGCACGCACGAGCGCCCGCCGTTCCCGCCGGCCCCCGTTCGCCTCCGCCCCCAGCTGCCACCGCCCCCCCCGCCCCGCCGCCCCGCCAGCCCCGCCGCCCCGCCGCCCCGCCGCCCCGCCGCCCCGCCGCCCCGCCGCCCCGCCCCCCCCGGGGCCCCCCCCCGCCCCCGCTCCGCCGCCCGCCGCCCTCACCAACCCCCGGGCGCCGCCCCCACCGTCCCCGCTGTCCCTGCCGCCCCCGCCGCCCCACCGTCCCCGCTGTCCCCGTCCGCCCGCCACGCCCCGCCCGCCCCCCACTCGCTCCGCCGCCCCCGCCGCTCCCCGCGCGCCCCCGCCGCCCCCGCCGCGCCCGCCCGCCCTTCACCACCCCCCCGCCGCCCCCCCGTCCCTGCTGTCCCGCCGCCCCCGCCGCCCGCCCTCCGCCGCCCCCGCCGCCCCGCCCGCCCCGCCGCCCCCGCCGTGCACCGCGCCTCCGTTGTCGCCTCCGCCGCCCCCGGCGCCACGCCGCTCCGCCCGCCCGCCGGCACCTCCGTCCCGCCCAACCACCATAGCCATCGCAACCTCCACCTCTGCCTCCACACCGCCCTTGCCACTCCGACGCCCGCCGGCCCCGCCGTCCCGCCGCTCAACCCAACCACCATAGCCATCGCAAACCCCGCCGCTCCCGATGCCCTCGTCGCCCGCGCCGCCCCCGCTGCCCCTGCCGTCCCAGCCGACCTCGCCACCTCCCCCGCCCTCGTCCAGCCCCATCGCCTCCGCAGTCCCGACGACACACGAGTCCGCAGGAGCAGGACTCCGGACAATGCGGCCGGTGGCGTGGAATGCTCCAGAACTGGCTGCAAGTGAACCAGCAGGGGCGGCTTTAGGGGAGCCACTGTTTTTTAAACTAAAGGAAATGAATAGATGGAACACATAGATGGTGATTCTCTTAATTGTACGTGTGAAGAAGTTAAAAAATACCAGATTCATTCGGCCAAATTGACTCGTTTTCCAATTCAATCCTGTATTTCCAAATTAACGGCGAGGTTCCGACCTACATATCATGATCGATTACCTTGAATATCGAAGATCCTTGTGTCCAGCCAACAGAAAATCAGTTTTAAGATTTTTACTCCGAATACAGATACGGCTCATTTTCATTGTCACACTAGCGTAACTACCGAAAAGTGTTTCTACTTAATTAAATGCGCGGATTCCAAAAATGTTAAATTGGCATTGGAGAAGCATAAAACGCAATTTCGGTTTTAGTTTAAGCCGATAGCTTAGGTTTGCAATCGCTTGGAAGTCCCTCAAAAGTTTTAAAGAAAAAAATTGAATGAACATGTCCATGATATAAGATATAAAACAACTAAGTAGAATACAATCTACATACAACAACTGTATTGTGTTGGGTTGTATTTCATTTCGGCAATATTGAAAAACATACTAATAACTTACATAATAATAAAATAAATAATACGCTTAATTTGACTTTAGAGAACGTGTATAATGTTTAAAAATTACGAAATTTGAGAGCTTAACATATGTGACTTTAAAGACAAATTTTAGCAAAACGATTACGAACAAATTCTTCGTTTCAAATTCCTGTATTATTTTGCAGTTCAAAAAATCATTGTTAAATTCGAAATAATTCAGAAAGTTATAATTGAAAAGAAATTTCATTAATTAAAGTTTAATTCATCCTCAAATGAAATTGCTTCTGAATATTTCATGTTGCCAAAACGTATTTTGTAAATAATGTAATGTGTCATAGTTTTTGTCCTTTGATTTCTAATCATACAACTTGATAGATGAATAAAACAGTTGAACATGGATATGAACAACTTCATGAATTTTTTATAGTTTTTGTTTCAAAGCGCATCAGAACTGTTTAAAAAGTTTACGTGAGTGAACAAAGTAAAGAAAATAGACCTCGCACAAAATCCACGGAGCAATCTCCATTATTTACGACATTTTCTAATGAGAATCTCATCTGCATAAGATCTTAATTCTAAGAAAATGCTTTCACCGAGAATATCAACGCCCAGTTGCACAGAAGAAAGGAAATTCTGCCAGCCTCCATTATCCACGCGAGTGCGTGTTTTTCACTGTTTCCATCACGAACACGTGTTGTTTGCATCTCATGGTTCTTAACCGCACAACATGACCCGCCGCACTACGTTAACACGAACCGTAATCATTCCTCTTGAGTGAAAATGTCAAAAATATACCCAGACGCCGGATAAATCCAGGCGCAAAACTTCATCGCATGTATTCCGTCCCGCGCTACTAAATTTTCATTCACTCCGATTGTTGTGTCTATTTTACTTCTTGAACGTAAACCGGTATCATAGATTCTACGGTTCACAACATTGCATCTATAGCTCGACCACTTAGAAAAAAGTCATCATGGTGTCGCTTACCTCGGGAGAGGGGTGGCTAAGCCATTCCACACAGCTCCCGAAGAGGAGCTCAGTTGAACGCAAGGACCGCCTACAACTATAACTGATTCGCTCTTGTAACTTCGTTCTCACACTTCAATATTCTAGGAATTGGGACGTTCGACAAGGCCAGGTAGTCTTTTCCCTGCCCGCCCAGACCGAGGCGGCAGCTGCAGCAGTGGCTCCTCAAGATGGGGAAGTTGAGCCTCTAAGAGAGAGAACTTTCCCCTCCGCCACTTTTCGCGCATGCGCAGTCCAGCTTATTTTTTTAAGTGGTCGAGCCATAGCTATTGTATTAATGATACTGTTCACTTAATGTGACAACGTTGCGGAACTGTTCAAAAGCAGCCGGCATCAAATCAGAAGCAAACGGCGAAAATGAACACGGATAATGTATTCGACTATCAGATTACTTAATATGTGGGAATATTAGATGAGAACGTAGAGCTTGTCTCTGGCCTTGCTGAGATTCCTGGAGAGGGAAAACCGCGCAAACTGACATGTAGATCGGCCTTCGGTCATATGGTCGAGTGAGGAACGTCGCCACGTCTCTGGATATAACATTCACTACTTATACGGGGCTAATGACTTCAGTAGTCGACGCGTGCCAGGAATCAATTTTCACTTCGAATGTTAGGCCATCCATATCTATACTGTGATAAACCAGAAAACCCACTTATATTTTGAATACGGATAAAACGGCATCAAACTTTGTAGTTACGATGTAATTGCATACAGGATGTTTAGAGCCAAAGAACACGCGTTGTTAGGGCAACCAATCAACAAGATACTCGTATAGTATTCCATGCTTGATGACAGATTGCTACTTATTTGGGGAGCATGGCCCCGAGGGCATTATGTGCAGGAAGTGTAAAGATGGCATTCGAAGTCATTGTTCTGTAAGAATATGGAAATAACCATTCTCTTGCCAGCCATCGACTCGTGAGAATGCAGCAATCGGGACGGTACGAGTATTATTTCAGTTGGGAATGGAATAATAGTCTGTTAGGGAAGCGGGTGACTTATAATTAATTTCGATAGCTTTGTATTGCATAAGTTATGAATGTCACTTAATATCATTTTATTTTGTATTGCATAAGTCAATGGTATCACTTTAATTTGAGTTCAATTTTGTAATTTATGATTTAAATTAAAATAGACTCCATAGCCGAAGAGAATTTATGTTATAATAGATCCGCAGATGGGGATAATTTTTTAACAAGTTGGATTGAAAGAAGATAATCGCGCGTAGGTGTTTCATCCGAAGAACAGGCAGGGCTAGTCGCGCTCGCGAATGAACTTAGTTAAATTTATTGATTTCTATGAAATTGAATAATTTATAGTACTCTGGGGACATTTGTAAAGTACTTCTGCTGTTATCACGATAGGAGGGGAACCAACGATGAAATCCCATGGGCGACATCAGCCGAGAAGTCAGCTCATCGCACGAAGATCGTAGTATGCTTACGAACTTTAATTGAAACCGTACGGAACTTTGTGTATTGTACAAAAAAGATAATTACATCGTTTATAAGCTCAATAGAAAGTTTTTAATAAATCAGAATAATAGTTAAATTGTTATTATTAAAAAAAGCTGATAATTCATAGTAGTTGCCAACAATTCAATAACATGTTTCATCCAAAAGAAGTTCCTCAAATCGCAGTTCTGTACAGAGTTGCACATCCACATATAAAAGCTAAAAAATAACGGATTATATGTCGAGACCCACGAGCAAAAATCAAGACAATCGTGGTTGAATATTGATGAAGATAATGAGCATAGCAAGGCAAAGTAAAGGTAAAGTATTTATAACGTTAATAAACGCGATATTAGTCGGTCAATAAAATTAAGTGAGCAAATAAGTGGAAGCAAACAAATATTCCACAAATTCAGAAATTAAAATAACATTGAAAGTTTAGAATATAATACTTTTCACAATACTTACAATTATTTTTAAGAAGTAGGCAAATCAAAGGTTTTGATTGTTGCATGAAGGTTTTGCGACCGAATCTTAATCATCCTTAATCATGAATATGGAGACTGGGTTCTAGTAAATTATAGCTATTTCTTCTGATGATATTCTTGTTTACTCCCCATTCTAAGGCAATACTTTCATATGGGATCTAAACTCCCAGTTCCTATGAGAAAAAACACTTTGATAGTGTCATTGTTAGTTTAGTCAAAACTAGTTCTTCTATCTAGACTTCAACCTCCACTTTATTGCACTTTAATCGGAATATTAAAGAATTCATCAGAAGATGATTCAGTCATGAATCAGAAGATTAAAAGAACTCTTACCTTGCTCTTGAACCGCCAGTTCTTCCCCTTCTCGTAACGAGAGATCATGTGGTTGGGGTTCCCGCGTTCGAACCCGAACTCGTACTGTCCTTTCGCGGGTACTTTGACGTACTCGTAGTACGTCTCGTCGTCGCCAGCTCCCCCGCCGCCGCCGTGGACCGGCGGCCCGTAGCTATCCGTCGGCGGCCCGTACGAAGGTGACGGGGCGGCGCCAACAGGAGGAGCCCCGTACACAGGGCTGAGGTCTGTTGATTGCCCTTGGGGCCCGCTGGAGCTCGCAGGCGGTTTGTTGAAGGGCTTGGAAGGTCTATGTTGATTGGAAGGTCCTCTGACGCCTGGAGGAGGCCCATGCCCGGGCGGAGGTCGCCGACCTGGGCGTGGAGGGCCAACCAATAGATGAACATCGGACGGTGAGGCCACGTGTTCCCCGTTGGGGCCGCCCGGCAGAGGTCTGGGGACGCCTGGGGGAGGCCCGTTGCCGCCAGGGGGGCCCTTGGAAGGCGGGGGGCCGTTGAATGAAGGTTGCCTTCCCGGGTGAGGAGGTGCCTTCGCTGGCTTGATGTCATTGGCGGAAGGGAAGGGGTCGAACTGCGGCCGCGCGCCTGGGGGAGGGCCAAGGTTCACGCCGGGGGGAGGTCCATGCGATGGAGGAGGACGTCTTCCTGCGTGCGGAGGTCCGATGTATGACTCCGTCTCCGTAGAAGACGATTCGCTATCCACGTGTGGGCCTGCGGCGTTCTGGGGAGGTCGCTGGCCGTTGGGAGGGCGGGGCCCGAACGGAGGTTTGGATCCCGGAGGATTGCTCGGAGGCCCATTGGGCGACACGAAGGTGGGCGCGGGCAGGAAGGCTGGCCTGGGCCCGATGAGCGCCGGCCTGGGCGGGCCCTGAGGCGGCCCGAGCGGGGGGCCTGGCGGAGGGCCGGGTTTGGAGAAGGGCGGCGGCCCCGGGGGCCGCTTTGCGAAGGGCGGCCCCGCGACGGGGCCCTTGAAGGGCTTGGCAAACTCCAGGGTGTCGGGAGGGGAGTACACCTGCGCACCCGGAGGAGGGCCGATGCCCCCGTTGGCGCAGGGCGCGTGAGCCAGCCACAGCATCTGCAAAGGAGGTGCTGCATTAAACACGATCATGTTATTGAATAGGTATTTAAACAACACGTTTCTTCTTTGTATGCCAATCTATAATGCTCTTTAATATGTGAAGATTGTTGCACAACAAAGACAACACAGCAAGTACAACACGGAGTCATACTTCACTTAAACATGTCCAACACTAAGTAGTCTATGCACTAGGTAGCTTAAATATGGCCTTCAACAATGTTTTTGTTTTTGTTCTGTTTTAATGAATGGAAATGAAAACAAAAGAGATGACAGTTTTACTTTTCTTCCATACACAAACCCATTTTTAAGTGAAATATGATTGTGTGTTGTATTTTTTAGGTTGTCTTTGGCGTGGAAAATAACGGAAAATATATTTAATTCATGACGGTGTGAAAACTTCGATAACGCAACTGTGAAATATATCAGTTAAAACAAGTAGATAAATTCTAAAAAATAATATCGCCCTATCGCATTCTCTCCAGTGGCTCTAGCATGGAATTCTCACAGGATTAAAATGAGACCGAGGAGAAGACGCCTTGAGGGCCGAGCCATTGACGCCGTTCCCATTGCCGTTCTCTCGGAGGCGCAAAACGTCTTCCCAACCTGGTATCTCCCCCCACCTGGTGTCACCCCCAACAGGAATAAGCTCTAAATTCACGACCGGTCTCCCAACATGTGTGGTAGTGTAGTGCATTTAAGTGCAAGTGTGTGTATGTAAGGGGTGAGAATAGGACAAGGAAGAGGAAGGAAAGATCGCGCGCGGTCTATGGCTCGTGTGTTACGGTATTGTTCCGTCATTGTGTTGATCGGACAAACCACAGAAAACCGCGGATTAGAGAATCCGGCCGCTAGAATTCTCCTCCAGACAGCGACTGAGCTCGACCTAGCTATCTAGCTTATGTAATGTCGAAAATCCTGCTACCCTCGGGGCTCGAACCCCAGGACCTCCCGCTCGGAGGCGCTACAGTGACATCAGTTGATATCCGGAGCCACCTTTGCCGGGGAAGTGTTTTTGGACGCGTCTCGGTCCGCAAGTAGGGATCTAGCCACGTTTTCGCAATAATGGAATTAGAAAACATAAAATTAATAAATATGAAAATACGTTTAAAAGTTTTGAAAGCCCTGGACTCGTCACACTAAGCTAATGTGACAATATCGCAATTTATTTGAAGTTTGGGAAATGCTTTTGTTTTTGTAATACATATCTTACTTAATAACCTTAATTTCCCGGAATCGTCTTTGTATCCTGAATCTGGAAAACGTTTAAACGCTAAAAACTGTAGTGGATTTTGAACTGTGGTGGATGCAATTAGTATTTTAAAATTCCATTTTTATAATGATGCAAATATATATTATCACTATTATAAAAATGTTTAATTTATTTATATATAGTTATTAATCATTTAAATCTAATTGCAGTCTTGATGGAAATTTACACTCACCATCTACTAAACATGCTTGGGAGTTTGGAAAGAGGCCGGACATATCACTTTTCTTTCACCTATTTGATATATTTTATACAAACCGCTCCACCTTCCGATATTTTACTACGAACTGTTTCTAAGGACACATGATTGTGAAACATCATGTAATCGTTTACATATAAAAATTAAAGATTTTAATGAAATAGTTAAGTATGCATATCCAAGGACTCAAAGAAAAAGCTGAGCGCCATCTCTCAAAGAGATTATTGTTCTCACTTCCAGAAAATGCAATTGGTGGTAAGCTATTTAGTTTGATATGTCTTGTATATTTTCAATTCAGTTAACGTCATTTTTTTCTTGATATTCGATGCAAAAGACTAAATGACAAGAAAAAGCGCAGGGGAACTAATGTATTTTCACCACTTACGTAGGTACATTTCAATGTTTTGAATGAGAGTACTATTGTTTAAAGAATTTTCCCAGATGGAACGAAGGGGGGGGTTGTACGAAATTAAAACTTCTGGTCTGATGAGTTCCATCTACCTCTAGGGATAATAATAATAATTGCTCCTTTCCAAAACTTCGTCGTGTTTCACATTTAAGAAGTTTAAGAAATGTAAGTACAGAAATTTTCCATATCTTTAAATTAATAAACTAACGCTTAAGCAAGATAATTATAAAGACAATCCGATGGAATATCCTAATCTATTTTAATATTTCTTCTGTCTTATATAATTTGCTCTTTCTTGATATGATAATGCGGAACTATTCACTAGTTTAAGAGGTATTCTTGTATTTTTCTTTTACTGTTATTTAAGTCACCACCGTAATCATACTGATTTATTCAAATTATTATTTTATCTCTAACCCCCAAGCCCGAAAAAAATTTTTAACTTGAAAATTTTGGGCGTATTATGAATTTACCAAGTATTTCGCCCACAAAAATGTTTGATGATAAAAGAATTGAACAGCCATAAATAAACTCCCGCCCATTCCACACACCTTGAATGAACAGTAAATTCTAGAGGAGAATAAGGGAAGATATTTGAAAATGTTATTGTTGTACAATGTAGTGTTCGTAGAAATTTGGACCTGATATTTGGTTTTACTGGCAATGCATAACGGGTATCGCTACTTATCGACGGACAAAATTTGGATTGGAAGAAAGAAGGTAATAGAAAAAATATGATCAAATAAGAACTTGGAATCTGACAAAAATATTGCTGGCTACGTGAAAATAAGGATAACATCGTTTTTAATTTCCATAATTTGGTGTGCTTTTATTTTACGTATTTTATTATTGATGATATTTTTAAAAGTGATACGTTCGTTTTCGTATTAGTAAAGAGAAAATGACAATTATAATAAATCAATTACTTTGATTTAACACGATTACTGGGGAAAAATACATTTTATAAAACGTGTTATTTCGTGTGTAAATATGGTTTAACTAAACTGCGGTAATTGTATTTTTTCGAATTCTCCTACATTTAATTATTTTAATAACAACGAATATTATTGGCTGTTCACTTAGGAACACCCGCAGAAAGGGTTTTCAACATTCATCAACGATCCATCAAACGAAGCAGCGAAACTCACCAGCAGCGGCAACACCAGACGAGGAAGTGCTTTTCTCCATCGCAGACCCATCTTCCTTGCGGCACCCACCCGGTCGCGCGGACCTGGCCAGCGCCTTCTGATGACACGGAAACGTCCGCAGTTCAGCGTCCAGTGATCCAAGTCCAGTGTTTAACACCCAATGTTCTGCGTCCAAGTGGTTGATGTCCAGAATTGGATATCCAGTGATCAAGGTGTAATATTCAATACGTAGTGTTCAACATAACGTCTGGTAGTCAACGTCTAGAGGTCAGCATTCGCCAATCAGCCACGTTCAACGTCCTATGTTCACCGTCCTGTGACCATTGTCCGGCGACACATTTTCACCTACTGACGTTCAACGTCCAGTGTCCTTCGTCCAGCATACAACGTCCAATATGCACCGTCCGGTTTTTGCCTGTAATTCACCCTCCAGCGAACAAAGTCCAGTGCCCACCGTTCTGTGACTACCGTCCAGCTGCGTCGTCCGGTGTCCGCCGTCCGTCTTGAGTGGAGCGTCCCCGTGCAGCGTCCCCGTGGAGCGTCGGCGTCGGCGTGGCGGCGCGGGCGGATGCTGGGCTGCCTGTGCGGGGCTGCGCTTTCGCAGGCGCGGGCGGGGGCCTACATTCCTCGCTTGAGGCGCCGCCGCGTGAGTTTCCCTCCCGGCGCGTCTGAGGGCGACAGCGCTTCACGCGCCCCCGCCCCCACGCGCCGCCCTCGGAAGCTTTCTTTTCTTGGCGATCGAGCTTCCCGGCGAAGAGCGAAATTTTTATTTTTCTTCCTCTTGTCATTCGTCTCCTTCTCCTCCTCCTCTTTTTCCTCCTCCTCCTTCTCTTCCTTCTCCTCCTCCTTCGACTCCTCCTTCTCCTTTTCCTTCTCGTCCTCCTCCTTCTCCTCCTCCTCTTTCTCCTCCTTATCCTCCTCCTCTTTCTCCTCCTTCTCTGTCTCCTCCTTCTCCTCCTCCTCTTTCTACTCCTTCTCCTCCTTTAATACTTCCTCTTCTGCTTCTTCTTCTTCTTCTCTTCCTTCTCCTCGTCCTCCTCTTTCTCTTCTTTCTACCGCTTCCCTTTCTCCATATCCTCTTTCTTCTTCTTCATCATCATCATCATCATCATCATCTTCTTCTTCTTATAATTATTATTATTATTATTATTATTATTATTATTATTATTATTATTATTATTATATAATTTCCAGCTCTCATATGCTGATGGAATTCTGTTCAGATGTCTCAGAGTCCCCTACATTATAAATCATTCCTTTAAGATTTGCAATGAAACCATCAAAACCATTAAAAAAAAGTATACGAGTAGCACACCCCAAAATGTCTGCTTTTTGTAGATTATGCTATAGAAAACAACTTGTGTGCTGGAGCCTCTTCACATGCAGACGCAGCAGCGCGCTTCCGAACACCGCGGCTGGTAGCAGATCATTGGTTTAAATGGAGATCTTCAGGCGTGTGGCGGACGTCGCAGTCTCGTTGCTTCGGCGGCTGACGCTTGCTATGAGCAGCCTGGAACGACGTGCACACCACCGCACGCAAAGCATTCCTTTAAATGGTAGTCTTCTCACTGGGACACTCTCGTCGCGCCGTTCCGCCTGCTGCTGTCCCTTTATCGTCGTCGGCGAAGAGTCGGCAAAACGTACCCCCGCCAAACTCTCGCCCTTTCACGGCGGAGGGCGGTGCGGCGGCGGCCCCGTGGGAAGTGCCTTGCTGCTTATCGGAAGAGCGCGGCAGTGTCCAAGTCGGAAGGACCGCTAAGGGCGCCTTCACACGTCGACACAGCGGGGCGCCTCCGATAAGCGGCAGAGCTCTTCCCAAGCCGCCACCGCTGCACGTCACCACGGCAACGCCGTCCGCTGGGGAAGGGGGTGGGTTCAGCAGGGGTAGGTTTTGCCTACGACAATCAAAGTAACCGCAACAGGTAAAACGACGCGACTGGCGACCGCAGTGGGAAGCCTACCATTGAAAGCTGTGTTCTGCTAGCGATGGCGAATATACCCTCCTGCGCTTCGCGTAGCGAGAGTCCGTCGCCGATCGCCGCAGCGGTGCATGCTCGTCGCACGTGGGGAGGTCTCCATTCAAACCAATGCTCTGCTACGAGCCCCGGTCTTCGGAAGCGCGCAGCGGTGGCGACGTGAGAAGGGACCCTTAGGGCCTTAGAAACCTTTTTTTTTCTGCACCAGCATTATAAACGACATTTTTCGTTGCAATAAATCGTCCATAAATTGGCATTTTATGGCACCGGGTATTTTATAGCACCGCTCGTCTTCCCCGAGCGTTATCCCTGCCCGACCTCCCTGTCCTTCATCTCCGCTCGTCTCCACTGCCAATTCTGGCTGCCAGTTCTTAGCTCCCGACCCCATCCTCCACCCTGAACGCCAGACCTCAACGCCAATCCCCACCGCAGTTTCTCCCTGCCCTTTCTCACAACTCGCTCTCACTTCTTGTCCTCCTTAATTTCCTCCCTGCGTGACACCATAAAACAAACTATATTGCCAACTGCAATACTGCTTTTGATTCCAAAAATAATTTTGATTCATTTTGAAAAAGACAGTGCTACATGCACACACTTTCTCGCAATATTTTCACGTTTGCACAATTCAGAGAGTTCAACGAAAATTAGACTTGCACCATTCTTTTAAGGGTCTCATGTTTTATCTGCCGGGGGGACTAAGAAAAAATGTATAGAGCTTTTTTGAGAAAATGTTTTCGTGGGTATAATTATCATTGACTTCAAGCAAAAATTACGCGAAAAATACCCTTAAAAAATTACCTAGGCGATTTTAAAGGTCTGATTTTTAGAATATGTTTCATTTCAGGTAAAAATCTCTATCTTCGTATTTGAAGTTTCGTAATATTCACTTTTTGCAATTTTCGAAAATACAGAGTTAACTTCTTGGCTGACCAGGTGATGCCACGCCGTTGGCGTCCGACCAGCCAAGAAGTCATGAACTCGAGTCACGGAAGCTTACGTGCAGAATACAATGGGTTGTCCGGAAATGTAACAAGTACCAGTTTTTTGACACACTTTCATATATGCGAGGAAAACTTTTAAAGAAAAAAATGGGATCTAAATTTCACTAAATAATTCTTTAAAAATTGCAGATGTTTCATCCAAAATTACGGGGAAAATACTCATATTTTTCAAACATTGTATACGACGTTATTTCAAGATTTTTAAAGAAAATATTTTATTAAAGAAAAATCCCCATCTTCAGTATTGTAGATGTTGGATTTCAAAGGATGTAAACATCCTTTACGCTTCTGTCTTAGGAGAAAGTTTAATAAAAAAATTAGGAGCCATTTTTGAGAAAAGTTTGAAAATGTATTTGAGTCTTCGTGTAAAGTACCCCCAAAAAAATCAAAATATCGGTTTCAATTTCTCAATGAATCGACTTCCTTTAAATCGGTCGGGGAATATCAATTTTGGAGAAAATCGTCTCGACGGATTAAGTCCTAGCGTTTGACCACGGACAGAGGGACATGCTGTCTCCTTGGCAATGCTCCTGCATGAGAAATATTCTAGATGTGTTTACTTCGATGCAGTATATTTACATTAAAACCTTACTCTCTCCCTCTTTCCCTCATGCTAAATAACAATACAATAGAATGATACCCCCTAATTAACCTATTAAATACTTAGGTTTATACCTAGATACGAAGTTAAATTGGGGAAAACATAAATGCCAAGGCGCCCCAAGTCAAAATAAAACTGTCACAGCTACGAACGTTAATCCACAGAAATAGTCCAATATACTACAAATCAGCCATAGCAATTTACAAAACAATCATAAGATTGCTAATGCTACATGCGTGCCCAATTTGGATCAACTCTGCCAAAACTAACATTCATAAACTACATGTCCTGCAAAATAAATTCTTAAGAATAGTTGCTCGTGCTCCTTGATATAAAACTAACAACCAACTCCATAATGTATTTAACTTGGAACCTATAGAACAACACATCACGTATCTGGTCCCCAACTTTTATTTTAACCTACCTCAAATCCCAGCCCTTTCACCCTTCAAACTGGCCCAAAATCCCATGTTCCAAACAAGAATAAAAAACAAATATCCTTACCACATATTCCTAAAACAATTTGCAGATTTATATCCTGACTGAGGACCCCTTAACGGAAATTTCTCCCCCTTGTAATAGTATGTAAGTTTACATTTAAGTATAGTAAATTTCCATGCAGTACACAGTAAGCTAGAATGTAAAAAATTCCCCAACTGTCATCACTTGGTAATGCTGGCCTTTACTATCCCATGTATGGGTAGGTAGGAAAATTCTAAATCCTTACAAGCCGATTAGTCTTGTTAAACTAGTTTTAGCTAAGCCTGTTCGTGGACATTGGATTTAACTACGAATATAATTAATTATTATGATTTATTAAATCTGATTTAAACTAGATGAAAGTTAAATAACTTTTGTTTTTCATTCTAACAAGTTAATGTTCTTTTCTCTAAAAGAAAATTAATAACGGTGGCGTATCAAGTTCAATTATTCTGATCATTACTATTTGTCAGTTTTTGATTCTATAAAACTAGCGAACCCGTTCGAGAACTCTCGCATATTAAACCCCACCCTTTCCCTATCCTTTCCATTAAAAAGGAATGTTGTTAATGAAACGTGTTTATTTGGTAATAGTATATAAATGTAACTTCGTATTTACACAATATCAAACAAAATTAAAAACAATGTAATTAACGTTGGAAACAAATTTTCAATAAAGGTTTATTCAGTAATATTGTGATATGTTCTTCGAACAATTCACACTTCCTTAAAAACTTTTGAAGTTCCTTCACAATTACCATTTCGCTTTCCTTGATCGTCACAAAAATATTAGAAAAGATATTTACTCTTGAGAAGTCAAGTAAAGTTCCATGCGAAAATACAGGATCGAGAAAGTTCAACGCTACTCTTTGCAACATTATTTAACTTTCCTAGATTTGTTACGAGGAATTGAGGGAATTTGGAGGGGCAAGTCACCAGATTCCGGCGAAAATTAAAAAATTATTTGTATACTACAAATGTATTATTTTCTGC